GAGGAGGAGGAGGAGGAGGAGGAGGAGGGGGAGGGGGAGGGGGAGGAGGAGGAGGGGAGGGAGGGGGAGGGGGGAGGACTAGGATTGAGGAGGAGGAGGAGGAGGGAGGAGGAGGAGGGGGAGAGGAGGAGGAGGAGGATGGAGAGGAAGGGGAGCAGGAGAGAGTAGGCGAGGAGGGGACGATGGACAGAGAGGGAGGAGGAGGAGGTGGCGGAGGAGGAGGAGGAGAGAGGGCCGAGGAGGAGAGGAGGAGGAGGAGGAGGAGGAGGAGGAGGAGAATAGGAGGAGGAGAGGAGGAGGAGGAAGAAGAAGAAGAGGGGGAGTGGGAGGGGGAGGGGGAGGGGGAGGGGGAGGAGAAGATGGAGGGGGAGGGGGAGGGGGAGGGGCAGGAGGAGGAGGAGGGGGAGGGGGAGGGGGAGGGACGAGAAGGAGGAGGAGGAGACCTGATGATGATGATGAGGAGGAGGAGGAGGAGGAGGAGGAGGAGGAGGAGGAGGAGGAGGAGGAGGGGTTGCCCGACGGCCGGCTGTGACCGCCTCCGCGCGCGCGCGCGCCGAAACCACCAACCACCAGCCGAATCCATCCTCAGCGGCAGGTAATAGGGAGCTGCGCAAACGGGGCTCAGCCAGAGTGCCAGATCCTGCAGGATCCTGCGAAGTCGGATTTGGGCCGAGCTGGGCTACCCGCTCGCAGCCCGGGAGGTGGCCTTACGTACGCATTTCGGCACGACCGAAATGGGCACGGAAAGAGCGGGTACAAAGACCGACAGCATTTCGTGTTCATGTTGAGCACGAGTTGCTGTCGGTGTCGACCCAGACGTTGTCAACTTGAGACGGAAGGCCGTTTGCCCAACAGCGGCCGTTGTCGGTGTTGGACATCATTGTTGTTGGGCATCGTACACATTTCTTCCGTATCCATTTCGGCGTCCAAAGTGGGGGGGGGCGTGAGCAGCATGGCCGTGGCCATGATTCATCGAAGCGTTCAGGTCGTGATGGTGAGGGGATTCCTGTTTAGAGGAAAAACGCCCCCCATCGGGTAAACGTGTTTCTGTGCTCAGTGAACCGGTTCCTGCGTTTGATGAATGTTGCTCCGTCCTTGTTTCCAGCATCTTGAGTATTTCGGTAAACCAGGCTCTTGTTCTGCTAAAACGGTGGAGCCCGGATTGGGCATCCCCCCCAAGAGTGCAGCGCAGGCTTCTCAGCATCGGCCGAGCCGGGCCTGCGCCGACCCGGGCCCGTCCACGCCCGACCTCCGCGCGAGCCGCCACCCCGCGATTGCGGAGCCGGGCGGGGCTGGGGCGGGGACAGATCCCTTCCAGATCAAGCAGTGGCGAAGCGTCCTGGCTCACCTATAGGCCTACCAAAAAATGTTATAACAACCGTTTGTGATTTCCACGAAATGTTCTTAGAACACGTCTGGCTGCGACAGCCTTGTTTTAACACATCGGGCTTATGTTATAAGAACATGCTGCTTGTTATTAAAACATGTTTGGGTTCTAGGAACATATAGTGGTAGGCCTGTAGGAATACCGGGACGGTCGGTCCCTGCTCAACCAGAGCGTTCTTCTCGATTACACGTAAGAGTGACCCTTCGCTGGAGTGACCTTTGGTGCGGGCCCATTGGGGTCCCCCGATCGCCGAACACGATGCAGCGGTAGCGTTTTGCGCGGTGGTGTTGAGGCCCCCCGCGGCCCCCAAAAAGCCGCGCACCACAGGTAACTCTTACCCAGAGTCACTCTTGCGTGTAGCCGATCTTCGGGGACCCCAAACACTTTCCAACCACGCGCAGAGAGGGCAGGGGGAGGGGGGAAGGTTACTTAGAAGCACGCCTGCTTCTTCGAAAGCGCTGGCCTTGTCTGTAGATGTAGGGCCAGCGCCTTCTAAGAAACAGCCTCCTCAGAAGCCTTCCCCCCTCCCCCTGCCCCCTTGTGCGCGCCGCCAAGAAGTGGTGACCACACCGTCTGGTGAGGCGGTGGGGATTCGGAGTCCCCGCGCGGTTTGGGGACTCGGGTCGTCCTCCGACGATGTCTCGGGCGACTGGGGCCTCCGAGGTCCCAAAACCGTGTGGTGACGGACCCTGCGGTGAGGTCTTTGCGGATTTCGAGGGTCTGTCACCCCACGGTTCTGGAGCCCCCGAGTCTGGGAGCGCTCTCTCAGAGCAAGGAGCGCGCGGCGCCCGACGCGTCCTGCAGAACCGCCGGAGCTCCGAGCTGCCCTCATCTCGGGGGTTGCGAGAGGTGCCCCCGGCCCAAGGTGCCCCCAGCTTCCCGCTCCATCTTGGAGCCCCCTGGGGCCCTCCTCCTCCTCCTCCTCCTCCTCCTCCTCCTCCTCCTCCTCCTGGGCCGCCGCCGGACGCCGAGGAGCACGGCAACAGGCTGAAAACGCAGGTCCGACGGCGATAAACATTCGTGAGGGGTGCTCTGGAGGCCGTGAGGGCCTCCCTGGAGATCCTGGGGGCGCCCTGGGCCAGGGGCACTTCCGGCAACACCCGAAAGCGTGTCCCTGTCCTGGCTTCGTCTTAGGGAGCAGAGGGGTCCTGAAGGGCCACGGGCCCTGGCGAATGTTTGTCGCCGTTCTCGGGCTCCGCCACGGGCCCGGGGGCTGTCGAGCAACGCGTTCGGGATGTGAAGGTCGGATGAAAAAAAGTCGGCGGCGAGATCCGAACCCGACCCTCGCTGATCAACGATTCAAGCAGCTCGATGGGCGGTGGGAACAGGTTTCGGAATTCGCTGAACACGTGGCGAAATCCGAACCCCATCCCCGCCCTCCCATCGATTCAGGAGATTCGAAGACTGGCGGGGGCAGGATTCCGATGCCGCCACCGAAAGAGGTCATGAGAACGACGCGTTCCAAGATTTCTAAGGCTTCCAGATTCCCCAGATCCCCTGGTGTCCCGCAAGGGCTCCCGAAACGAGGGCCGAGCCCATGAAACATGCTGGGCGAGTCATGGTCCTCGATGTTGCTCCCATCACGTAGGGCAAATCTCCTCCTCCTCCTCCTCCT